CGTGTCCCCTGTCCCTCTCTGGCCCGCCAGCGGGAAGGGGACATCCCACCGGGACACCCCCCCCCGCCCCTTCCCCAAATCAGTTCTCTGCTGCCGGGACCCGCCCGGGCTCAGGGACGGGGACGACGATGATGGGGGACACTGGTGGGACAGTTTCATGATGCCTGGGGACATGCTGTCACCGTGTGTCACCCCGGGGGGCGGGGGACAACGACAGGAGCCTGGCAGTGGAGGTCCGGTGGTGGCAGCGGTGGTGGCATCAGAGGTCTGGTGGTGGCAGCAGAAGCCCCATGATGGCACCAGAGGTCTGGTAGTGGCAGCAGAAACTCCGTGGTGGCATCAGAGGTCCAGTGGTGGCAGCAGAAGCCCGATGGTGGCATCAGAGGTCTGGTAGTGGCACCAGAGGTCCAGTGGTGGCAGCAGAAGCCCGATGGTGGCACCAGAAGCCCGATGGTGGCATCAGAGGTCTGGTGGTGGCAGCAGAAGCTCCGTGGTGGCACCAGAGGTCCGGTGGTGGCATCAGAGGTCTGGTAGTGGCAGCAGAAGCTCCGTGGTGGCATCAGAGGTCTGGTAGTGGCAGCAGAAGCCCGGTGGTGGCACCAGAGGTCCGGTGGTGGCAGCAGAAGCTCCGTGGTGGCACCAGAGGTCCGGTGGTGGCAGCAGAAGCCTGGCAGTGGCCAGGAGCTGAGGCACTGTCCTGACCCCATGGGGGACAGCAGCAGGTCCCGGGGTTGTGGCAGGGTTGGGGGGGGACAGGAGACAGGGTGGGGGGCTCAGAAGAGCACGCAGCGCTTCCGGGGTCGCCTCCTGCGGCGGGTGGCACTCAGGGCGACACGGCAGGCCGCCACGAAGATGTCCCTGACGTTGTCCTGGTACTTGGCCGAGCACTCCAAGTAGGACACGGCATGGACCTGCCGGGCCATGGCCTCTCCCTGTGGGGAACCGTGTGGTCAGACCCCCTCCCAGGGCCACCGGCTGCCCCACGGCTGCCCCACTACTGCCCCCTTGCTAGGGGGGGACATTCCCCAGGGGGTGGCACTTGCCTTCTGGTGGGAGATGGGCTCCAGGTGTCCATCCTTCTGCTTGCGCAGGTCGGTCTTGCAGCCCACCAGCAGCACCGGGATGCCCTTGCAGAAGTGGTTCACCTCCGGGTACCACTGTGGGGGGACATGTGTCACCCGGGGGATGGGTGACACGGGATGGGTGGCATCTCCTGGCTCCGTGCCACCTCCCACAACTTACCTTTGTTAGGACATTGTCGTAGCTGTGAGGGCAGGTGACATCAAAGCAGATGAGGACAACGTTGACGCCCGCGTAGGACAGCGGGCGAAGCCTGTCGTAGTCTTCCTGTCCTGCCAGGTGGGGACACAGACCATTACACACCAGTTCCATACTGGGATGGGTCTCCCCAACCCCCCCCCCAAGCCTGGAACCATGACTGGGGACATGGTGGGGCTCTGGGGACAAAAAGCAGTGCCCCATCAAGAGGGTGACATCCCCTGGGGACATTGTGGGTTGACCCCCCCCCCTCCCATGGGGACACCCCTCCAATGCATGACCCGTGGGTGTGGGACACCCCAAAAACCCACGGGGGGGGTCACGACCGCCTGTCCCATCCCCTCCTGTCCCACCTGCGGTGTCCCAGAGGTGGATCTCCACGGACTTGCCGCCAACCTGGAGGGTGGTCGTGTACCTCTCGAACACGGTGGGGATGTAGACCTGGTCGGGGGGGGCACAAAAAGGGTCCCTTTTACCCACGGACAGCAGCAGGGGGGTAGCACCAGAGGGGACCCCCCCCTGGGGATGCAGAAGAGGGCACAGGGAGGTAAGGGGGGTCGGGAGAGGGAACTGGGGTGTAGAAGATGGTGGTCCCTCCCCGGGACAGGTAGGGTGGGGACTTCCCTCCTTGTTCCCCCCCCCAGCCCCGGGACTGTGGCCCCCTCAGCCCGGGCAGGTGGGATGCCCCGGGAAGGACCCAGGGGGGGGACAGGAGGAAGGTGCTGGGGTCTCCATGGGTTGCCCCCACCCCACCCCAACACCCTCCAGATCCCATACATTGCTGTGGGACAGAACCCACCACCCCCCCAGGGCGAGGCAGAGGGGGGGGGACAGACCCCCTGAGGTCACCCCAGACCCCCATCAGCCCTTTGGTGCCACCCCCAGACCCATCTCCTGCTGCCACCCCCATCCCCGTCCTGTCCCCGTTCCACCACCCTTTGAGGTGACACCCCCACGCCCCCCCCAACCCAGCCACCACATCCCACCCAGGCTGAGGTCCCAGGGGACATTGGGGAGGGGGGGGGACACACACAGTACCTTGGGGAAGTCCCCCCTGGCGAAGGCCAACAGCAGAGACGTCTTCCCGCAGCCCCCGTCCCCCACCACCACCACCTTCACCTCGGCCTCGGGGGGTCCCGGGCTCTGCCCCCCGTGTTCCCGCGGCATAGGGGCGGCCGGCGGGGGC